AGGAAGAGCAAGTGACAAAGGAGCAGCGGTAGTAATACCAAGGAGCCAGGGCTGGTTCTTCCTCTCAATGCTTGGAAGTCACCAGAGTGATGGTGTCCTGTCTAGACTTGTTGAGATGCTCTCCACTATGGCTCATTGATCATTTTCTAAACCAGAAGTCAGATATGCCAACAACTGAAGAAGTCAGGAAGACAGCATGAATAAAGGTGGACAGATAAGACCCGAGTGGGAAGCCCAGTGGTCTGCTCAGTTTAACTAAATGCTGTCCTTTGGGAGCAACAGCTCAGTATCTCTAGGCTCTGGACTCATTTCTTTCTTCTTTTTGAGACAGGGTTTCTCTATGTTCTCTGTCTTTTTAACGTTTCAGATTTGCTATCCTGTTTTGTGAACTTCCCCAGAGCTGAGATCATAATTACATGCTCCCATCCCTGGCGTTTTAGCAGCAGGATCTAGCTGTAAGCCCCTCTGTGGTTTCTGTGTGAAAACACCACTTATATCAGGGGAATTGGCCTTGTGAAACCAGGAGAGCATGCGTATATTATGCCCATGGGCCCACCAAGAGGAACCTAGCATGTGCATTCCTCGTTCTGATATCTGCACTTCCTTGAGAGGCAAAGTGTGCCTACAGCTGCACCTCTGGCTCGGGAGCCATCGTGGGAGCCCTGCTGCGCTCAGGTGTCCTGTGACCCTGTCACCGAGGCTCTTCTTTACCCTCTGCTCAGTCTTGCTGTTGCACCATTACGTGGCCTTGGAAACTGTCCCTGTGACTTTGCAACTTGCCTTACAATGTGGCCAGAAGTACCAGGTACAGACACAAAACGGGCTTACTGAGTGAACAGAGCACGAGAAGTTTTGAGTCCTCTGACCTCCGGGACTCCACGGGTTGCAGTGAGGTATTTCTCAGGCCTTCTAGTTCCACACTCACTGGTGTTCAGCCTTCTGTGAGGCTGGGGCAGGGGCTGGGCCGGGGGAGGTGGACTCCTGGCTCATTATGTTTTTTTCCAAATCTGTAGCTTTTCCATTTCAACTGAGATTATTTGGGAGTCTCTCAGTTTAGAGTGAGCTAGGGTGAAAGGAGAATAGGCCTCAGAAGTAGCAAACAGGGTTTAAACTTTAATACTGACTAATCTTTGGACCCAAAGAAAATTAGAAAACCACTCTAAGATGCAGTATTTGCCTAAGGTGGGGGAAGAATCTGAAGCTGAGAATGATGATACAGACCCCTTGTCCCTGTACACTTTTGTCTGAAGTTAAAGGACTGCAGTGCATTTGAGACCAGCTTTGATTACATCGCTAGTACCACGCCAGACACAGCTATAAAACAAGACTATGCCTCCTAAAACCCAACGAAAAGCAAAATGGGAAAAGAGAAAAAAAAAACCCACACCAAAGGATTATGTATTAAACAAAGCGCTAAGCACAAGAATAGCTCCTAACAACAAGAATAGTTGTCCTTTCTCTGTGTGCTCCCTTGCCACCTCCTGCTCTTCCTTCTCTCTAGAAAGAGTATCTCAGAGTTATGTTTAACACGGAAAGGGAAAACAATCAGGCACACACGACTGTAGACTCCCTGGAGTTGAGGAGAAGGCATGGATCGCTTCTGTGTTGGCTGGTTGTGTGTGTCAACTTAACACAAACTAGAGCCATCAGTGAGGGAGGAGCCTCAGTTGAGGAGATGCCTCTAAGAGGTCCAGCTGTAAGGCATTTTCTTAATTAGTGATCAATGGGGGAGGGTTCAGCCCATGGTGAGTGGTGCTATCCTTGGGCTGGTGGTCCTGGGTTTTATAAGAAGGTAGGTTATACAAGTCGAAAGAAGCAAGCCAGTAAGCAGCTCCCCTTCAGGCCTTTGCATCAGCTCCTAACCCTAACTCTAAGCCCCTGGCTGTCCTGGAACTCTCCCTGTAGACCAGGCTGGCATGAAACTCACAGAGAAATGTGAGTTCCTCTCTCTGTCTCTTGAGTGCTGGGATTAAATGCATGTACCACTACCAATTTGCTTGCCATTTTTATTCAAACTACCGTAGTTATTGTTTGTACATAGCCAAAGATTGTGGGGATTGTATAACATCCTGGGCATTTGATTTTCATGAAGTAGGAATTGGGATTTTTCTGGAGAAGAATGGAGATCCTTTGTGGCAGGCAGACCTTCACTACTTCGGGAAAGTTCTTTCTTTTGTTTTTGTAATCCTGTAGATTGAACTCAGAGTCTCACACATGCTATATGGGGGCTCTGCCACTAAGATACATCACTAGCCCTTTAAAAAATTATTTAGAGACATAGTCTCACTGTGCTACTCATTCTGGGCTCTGGCTTCAGCCTCCTAAATGATTGGGATTACGGGCATGTGCCGCTACGCTTCACGCACTTTGTAGTCTGTGTTCACATGTGTAAGTTCATCTAAAAGCCAGAGGACAGCCTGGGGTGGCATTCTTCAGTTGCCATCCTTACCCACTTTCTCCAGTCCTCTAGTGAAAGTCACACCCCACTGCCACCCCACCCCAGAGATACCAGGTCGCCTAGGCTAGCTGGCACAAGCAAAGCACTGGTAAATGGTCCTTGTTGCCTTTAGAGGGAGCCAGACTCACAGCCTTCTCAGTGACAGGTACCTAGGCTCCCCACCCAGTCTTTTACTGTGCCTCCTAAGAGCTGTCAAAGAGGGAGAAACTTATCCAGACCACCAGGCTCTTCCATTCTCTTCTATTCCCAGAAATGTAATTTTTGTTTTCAGGATTCACAAGGAATTCGAGTTGGTATGTTCCACTGGATCAGCATAGGGAGCTGATAAACTACGTTTCAGAAGACTAGAAATAAGTCCTTTTTTTTTTTTTTCTCTAAACATTCGTCTGGGTGTAGGAAGAGAAACTGAGGAACTAGCAGTAATAATACCAGGGAACAAGGGCTTGTTCTTATTTTCCCTCAATGAAACCACTGTAGTGATGGTGTCCCATCCAGGCTTGCTGTTGAAGGATGTTCTCCACCAAGACTCATTGATCATTTTCTGAACCAGAAGTCAGAAATGCAAACACCTGGAGGAGTCAGGAAGGCAACCTGAACAAAGATGGACAGATAAGACCTGGCTGGGAAGCCAGCGATCTGCTCAGTTTATCTAAATGCTGTCCTTTGGGAAGAGAAGCCCAATACGCTAAGGCTTTAGTCTCAGCCTGTCCCTCCTCTCTTCCCTCCTTCACTTCCTTGCTTCCCCCTCACCTCTCCTCTCTCAGGTCTTGCTGTGTAGCCCAGGCTACCCTGAAATCATTGGGATCCTCTTTCCCTGTGTGAGTGCCAGGACAGTTTCCTCTCCCACCTTTTGTTTCTTGAGTCTGTGTGCAGGGAAGACATGTAACGTGAGATACACTATCTTAATTTTTCAGGGAACAGTATAGGATTAGTAACTGTAGGGACTGTTTACAGCCAATTTATCCAGTTTTTTCTCTTACATAATTGAAACTTCATACCAATTGTATAACAACTGTTCTTTCCTATGGTTGCCCCTTAGCAACTACCATTGTGTTCTTTGCTTCTATAAATTAGAAAATTATAGATACATCACGTAAGTAGAATCATATGGCATTTGTCTTCCTAGGACAGGTTTAGCATAATGTCTTACAGGTTCATCTATCTTTGTAGCAGAACTTCTTTCTTTCTTTCTTTCTTTCTTTCTTTCTTTCTTTCTTTCTTTC